ACTTTTATTGTAAATACAATGCGCAATGAAGCGATTTCAGACCATTCATTGCATAGGAGAAATCCTGATATACACAGTTTATCCGAGTATAAAGCAATGTTCATAGTAATATACAAATGTACAGCTCAGCTTGAGAAAAGCTCTACTCAGTTCTCATTGCCTCGTGAATAGCAGAGAAAATAATGCAAAAGCAACAAATTAAAAAATAACTTTCTAAAATTAAAAAGTACACATAATTAAAGTGGTGAAAAGAGATCTACATAGGTCCACAGAGAAGAAAGCATAAGCATGCCCCTCAAAATGTTTGAAGAGACTTAATCCCAAAAGAAAGAAACAATCAAACGCCTCTTTGGGTGAAAGAAATAAATAACAATAGGGTTCCATACCATATTTCGCAATACACGTTTATGCTACTCTGTACGGTAATCTAGTTAGCTAGTTCAGAAAATAATAAACTTATCGAGCTTTTCATGCTCATAGAAAATAGCTGAATAGGATATTTGAGCAAAAGGCGGATTTTGCTCTTCATCAATACATAAAACCTCGTGAAACGAAAACCTAGCAAAACACAACAGTCAATTCAAGCATAGGAGTGATATCAATATTGCGGTCAAAGCGTTAACACTAAAAATCTAATGACATGCAGAAGAACACGATGATTTGTATGATAATGGAATTAAGAGTTCACCAGCCATGGATTGCGAGCAACAGTCTCTGGAGTTCGATCCCCGTAGTCATAAAGAAGCTCTTCAGCCTCATCAATGTCTCGTTTTGCAACAAGAATAAGATGGAGTTCTCCATCAAAATCCACCACCTTAACACTTTGAATAGTATAATAAAAATATGGAGGAAAGATGGTTTTCAAAAACAAAATATAAAAGTAATTCCTCAGCGACAGTTAATAGTAACATCCCAAAACTGACTTTTCTAGAGCGCCACTGTCAGGCTAAATTTGATCATTGCGTGGAGTATGACACAATGTGAAAACATATTCAACAAGTATGACTTAGAACTTAACTTATGGTGGGGAATATCATGTGCTACAAAAGAGGTTGCCACATGTTTCGATACGATAAACTGAATTACACTAAGCTTATTCTTCCGGTCTTCGGAAAACAAAAAACCTGACCTCTGACTCACGTTAGAATTGGAAGCGGTAACCTGTCTTATGCTATGTGACATCGTAATACATAGCGATAATTTCATTTGCTCGAAACTTCCATTAAGTATCTTCGGCAAGTCACTATACTACACAGTGATTCTATGTATTTTATTTGAGCTGGTAAGTGAACCAGATTTTAATGATTCTCTAATAGCTAACGTTTTGACGCTCTTACCTTCGTCAGAGCCTGGAAGTCGAATACATATATACTTATCTGCTCCTACTACGCATGAAAGTACCAATTTCCTTCCTTGGCAAAGGAAAATCTCGAAATGAGTCAAGAGTTGGAGAATTTAGAAAACGTCTAAGTAATTTTGGAAAAGTGAAAAAATCCAGAGATTCTCAAGAGAAGTCGAAGATTCTTGCTAGAAGTAGCAAGATCAACAAATTTGCAGCCAAAAATAGACATTAGATATATACATACACATTTCGAGCGCTTCAACAGAAGATTGGAGCGATGAAGAGAAAGAATTTTCGAAAACTGACGTAGAAGCAAAAATAAGCCTGGTAAACCAGCTACTCAGAAAAATTCGGGATATCCAAAATCAGAATCAGAACTCACCTTCGTGCGCAGATTAGGACGGAGCGCACTATGATTGATAAGTCGTCCCTTAAACTCCGACTCTCTCGTCGCATCCACACACCACCTTTTACTTTTATACTTGAAAAAATACATGTAAGAGCCGATAGTAGGATCTTTTGCGTATTCTTCTTCTCGAAGCTTTGCTGAGTTGTAGTCCATCATGTCTCCTAAAAATGCGTTAAAATGTCTCAGAACGAGGCAGTTGGACCAGACTGAAGCGAACAAATGCAAAGAAACGAACCTTTGTACTCGATAACAAATTCATTCTTAACAAATGACTTGGCAGCTCGGATCCCACGTCCTTTCTTTTCGTCTATGTACACTTCAAGTAGCGCTTCATTTGTTAAATTATGTATCGCATCGCGTAAAGCGTATTTCTCCTCTTCCTGCATACTTCATTTGATAAAGCTTCAGCACAAGTAATACGAGAAGATATCGAACAAACGGTAACCTTAGCGTACCTCTAGCTGTTTACCAGTTTTCCGTGAACTTCTCCGAACAGGGAAAAAATCCGTGATTTTATGGTTGGAAACATCCTGCACAGCCTTCCTTCTGAATTATAAAACTTAGCCGTTAAAACTAGACTGTGTTCCAAGAAGATGCTGAACTAGTATTTTTCTATAAGGTTTGTACAGTACATCATGATAGTTCAATCTTTGGAATAGAATACAAGTATCGATTTATGACTTAATTATGGAAGACATATTAGCAAAGGCCTCTAATTTATTTAGGATTTAAGAGTATCTCCATACTTCATAAGGATCGGCCGACCCTTATAACGCTTATAAGCGCAATAAGAATCGGCGAGGGCGCGCGGCGGTTGCGTTGCTGCGCCGCGGTCAAATACATTTTGCCTGGAGTTCTGTACTCATCTTTCCGGAACACTTGCTGACGACTTCTGAGAACTCTAACACAACCTAAAGAAAGAAAGTAATCAAAGTTGGGAGAAAAAAAGTGCGGAAAGGCTGGGATAGAGCCAAAGTGCGCCAAATCGGTACTCAACGGAGGCCGCGACGCAACCGCCGCACACCCTTGATCGGCCGATCCTTATTGCGCTTATAAGCGTCATGGTCGGCCGATCCTTATAAAATATGGAGGTGCTCTAAGTTTCCCTTCGAAAATTATTATAATAAATCCCGTATATTATTATGCGGTCCATTCAGAGAAAAGCAAGCTATAAAGTCGTGACATAAAGATAAATAAATAGGAAAAACAATCAGTAACTAACAGTGCCTGACCACAAGCGTGGATTGTTTAAAGTACATAACCATTAATTAAGAAAGAAAAGGGACGCCGAAATTCAAAAAAAAAAA